TTTTTGATAAATATGGACATGAATATTACCTTGAACGTCGTCGAGGGGAGCGCAGGAAGCGCGACGACGGAATGAAGTAATGCTGGAAATTGATGTTGCAACACGTATTGCTCTAATGAGAGAAGCTGGAGAGTGATGGACGTAGGTGGCAACTGTTGAGTGAAGGCGACGAGCATTGCTTCACGGCGACGGGAACGGGAGTGCGGCGCCGGAAGACCAACCGACGACGCTCCCGAACGAAATTAAGACCAAACTACAACACCGGAAGACCAACCTACATCGACAATCGAGTGGTCTTTCAGCGGGATGAAGATGGACAGATGACGACCGTGAGAAAGAATGACGGAGAATAGGAACTGGGTGGACAGGATGGCCGGAGAAAGGCGGAGACCAGTTGGCGGGAGCAGAAGGGACGACCGGTGACTGCAGCGGACAGGATGGTCGGAGAACATCCTTTGAAGAGAAGATAAACGGTTCGGCTGCAGGTGAGGGGGAAAATCCGAGAGTGTATAGAAAGTTAGGGTTACGTTTTTTAATTATTTACAATTCCCTAAATACCCTTAACAACTAATTAACTAATAACTCCCTAAAATTGAATCAACCAATCACAATGCTTTAAGATCCTTCTTAAAAAAGAGGGTTTAAGGACCTGAACTTAGGCCATCTCGTTCGGCTTGCAAGGTTTGCGAGTCAAGTCACTATTTGAGGTTTTTTTATATTAACTCATTAGCTACCTCATTTTGTGCTCATGAGTTGGCTCACAACATGACTAGCAAGTCGACCCGACTAGTGGTTTATGAATATATTGGTTTATAACTTATCATTTGACAAGTTGATATTTACCGTTGCCTAAAATTAAGTAGCACATATGCTTAGTTAGTAATTACTATTAAACAACATGATATTTACATTTATTTAAAACAAAATTTATGAAATCAATATTATGATATTTGAATTAAGCTTTCGAGTTGTTTATTAAAAAGCCGATCCTTATTTAAGTCAAAAACATTGCTCGACTCGGCTTATTTACAACACTAAGTTGAGCATAACTATCAACTTATAGCCTACGTGAAACGACCATCCATCATGCAAAGCCAGCTTATTTAGGCATATTCTTCCCGCACAAACGAAAGCGAAGTACATATAGAGGAATTTTACAATGCTATATAGTATTGGTGCTATAGGTATTTGTCTTTATGAGACAACTTGAAATTGTACATTTAAAGTTATGGTACAACTTTGGATTATACCTATACTGTTTGTACAAATTCTTTTATGGTAAACTTGAACTTGTACCTTTATGTGATGGTACAACTTCAAGCTGTAAAGTTGTACCATAACATAATGGTACAAATTCTTTTATGGTACAATCTAAACTTATACATTTCATGTTATGATACAACTTTAAGTTGTACATTAAAGCACCAGTACTATATAGCATAGTAGAAATGCTCAGTACATATAAGTTTTGAAACTTTTGTTTGGGGCGGATACCAGGTTCACAGTAGTGTGGGGCGGTATATGGGTATTGCTTCCGACCTCGAGTTGTTCTATTATGATTTGCATAAATATCTACATGTATGTCTCCTCTTTAAACCATTCTAAAATCATATATTCATTCGACAGAAATTGTAAGACTCTATCTTTCAAATAGATATATCCAATTATTTCTTCTACTATATTTCTCATTAATCATAAATTATTTTCTTAAAAGAGTTAGATATCAATGTTTTTTTTAAATAACATATAAGAATGGATCAACCCGCCCCGTCCTGCCTCCTATCCATACAAATATTATCTAATCTGACATACACAAGGGGTCGTTTGGTTTTGGTAATTGTTTGGTTGGGATAGTTACAATGCATGTATTGTCAATAATGCATTGTTTTTTTTTTTTGAATTTTCTGCACAAACAATGCATGCATTGTTCGCTTGATGTGATGGAAACTATAACTCAAAATGAGTGATAGTACTATCTCTACTAAAACTTGAGATTGTTGTATTCATTTTTTGTTTCAAGTATACCCCTAGTTATATATATATATATATATATTCTCATAAAAGCAAGGACAAAAGTATTTTTTCTCACAAAAAGTAATATAACATGTTGAATAATAAAAAAAACTATCACCAAAACCAAACAATGTAAAGTACATTACATTATTTTTCTTAATTGAATGTATATTACAATGAATGCATTGAACACACTACATTGAACAACCCAAAACATATATCGGCTTGTTAACCCTCTCGGTTATTATTATTATTTTTTTTCACGCCATGAATGAACTGGTTCTGTGACAAATAGGGCTACAGGGAGTGGCCAGATACGATTGGACGTATGATGTGACATACTCTGAAATTAAAGGTTGGTCTACGAAAACACATACGAGAAATGAAATTGCTATTCCCAAACGTTGTTAACACGAACTTTTGGTGTTCAAAACTGTGTTGAAAGGTGGCCTTTCATTAGGGTATACGGCCAACATGGTTGATCGTTAATTAGAAAGTAATAATGGGCGAGTTAATTACATTGTTTATAAACCCAACTGTCAACTGTCATGCGTTGTTTGGTCTGTGGAAATTAGAATAGAGATATGGCGAAAGAAAGACTTATAATTACGTTGGTACTATATATAACCCATGTGGCCTATATATGTTTTGACATTTGGCTGTGTACTGTACGTAGAAATGAAGAGTGTGGTGGAGTGATCATCAGTTAAGTTAAGTAGTGTTTTGGAACTGTGGCGATTGAGTGATTGACTGGTCACTGTGAGCGATGATTAGATCAGATCAGATCAGATCGAACTGAAAGTGAAACCTGCAGGCAATGAAGCTACTTTGATCGGTCCGGTCCGATGGGTAGTTTTAACGATATACATACGGCGTGCATGTGCGCGGTGGGTGGTCCAGGTCCGACCGTACTATTCTCCCTCCCACTCACGCCCAAGCTAGTTAATAAGCTTTCCGTCTTTTTTTTTTTTTTTTTTTTTTTTTAACTCCCCTGTTTCTGTAATTTACTACACTCTGTTTTATCGTCTTTTAAGGTTTCCATGAAATCACGGGTCTGCTGAATATTATTCGATCTATTTGTATGTGGGAGGATGCAGGAAACTACTTTGCTCTGCTCAGCAAAAGAGCTTCCCAGGGCGTTTTAGAGATGTACACCAAGAAGAAGAATATAAGAAGTAGAAGCAGGGGAGACTGTATGTATATAAAGAGTTGTTGTATTCTAAAAAACCAGCTTCATATTATACTTTCTGATTAGACCATGGTAGTGAATAATCACTGACCGACGAAGAGTGCTCTCCTTAAAACATAGAACTGCACGTATATATATATATATATGCGCGCTTCGTCCTTCCTTCCTTCCTCGGCCTTGACAAGGACACAGTGAGATCGATCTGATAGATGGAACCATCACATAAGTGCAAGAATCCTCCCCTCTGCCCCATTCTGTCTCTTCCCCCACTGCCCCACCATTTTATTGGTTCATCAGTGGACAGTAAGAGTCAGGATGCTTAAACTGCTTTATTGTTGACACTCTAATAATTTTCGACAGGATATTGATTTGTGGTATGTATTAGATTATTTTTGGTCTATATGAACTAGCTTTAATTTATACCTAGTTCGAGGATGGACAAATGACTATATCCGTGGATACCCGGCCGCTTGAATTCGAACTAATGGGACAGGGTAAGATCAAAGATTCTAAAATCATATATATAGCAAGTTGTTCATAACAATTTAGTGACGGGGTATTTTGTGCTGAAATTGTGGTTTAACTCATGTTCAACCGTTTTATACAGCTGAAAACCACCTACCGATTTAGACTATAGTAAGAGGTTTTTCCGCTCGGACCACCGATATGGTATGGTTTCACAAACATCGGGTAGAAGTGTAAAACCCGAACTCGAAGGGTTTTTAACGGGTATAGGTAAAATCCGCCAAGTTCGAGGGGGTGAACACGATTTTCTCACTATCCAACACGAATAAGTATTTTGTTCAAAAAGTATCATTATTTTTGTCAATACATAATTGATATTTGTTACACATATATAATATTTTTATGAAATTGTACTATTTTTAACTAAATTTCCTCATTTTATTAATTCATTGTTGTACTTTTCACTTACGTACGTAATGTCCGTACACGTGTAAATGTTAACATGTTGGTTAAAGTTATAAAATAATAAATTATTATCAATGTATAATTGAAGATACTCAAAAACCGAATGTTTATTGTATGATATTTATATTCTACCCAATTCTTATATGAGTATGTATATGAGTTAAATCATAACTATTTTATAGGATAATAATGTATATGCACAATCAGCCTCTAAAACAAGAACCTACAAAATCCAAACCTACCGTTTACCATCCCCACCACCCCTTAACCGTTAAGTCTGATTTTTTTAATTAGAGAACCAATGGCAATATCCAAGGTTGTCAAATCGGGTTAAGTCATTGAGCCGGTCAAGTAGGAGGTTTGAGGTTTAATGGTTTGATCGGGGTTTGGTCGGTTTTAGCCATTTTAGACGTTTTAGTAATTAAAGATTTAATGATTGAATGAAATTTATCTTACATGTATCTATTCAAAACTGATTTTCCACAAAATAAATCTACTGAACCTCCGTGATACACCCACCAGCTCTCTTTAGAGGTCAGACCGGAGGACTTTCTTAAAGCTGTTTTGAAACCCAACTAGAATCGAGCAAGGTTCAACCGGGAGTCCAATAGGGGTTTAACAACCTTTGAGAATATCAAATCGGAGTCCACACCCACTAAGAAGGACAAAAAAGCAGCGCATACTGCAAAACATATCCATCTAACCCAGCTACCTAAAACCATTTCCCAATTAAGCCCTTACAAAAGTGATATCTTCTTTTATAACTTCCTCTAAGCTCCCCATTTGTGTCTAAATTTCCAAACACCAAAAAGCGCGCATAGTACACACGTCTGTCTATATAAAGTACTCCCCTCCTCCACCTCCTCATCCGCCCATACCTAGCCCTTCAATTCTCAACCAAAATCCATACCATCTCCGATCCCCAAAAACTCCCCCTTCCTTCCTTCCTTCCTTCATCGAAATAGAAACCTTCCCAGGTGACTCCCAACTCCCTCTATCACCTCACGGCTCACACGTACACAACAAAACAAAGAAAACAAAATGGAGGCTGCCTTCAACTCCTCCTCCTCCTCTTCACTCCCCTTGTCCTTCTCCTACACCTTCGCCGCCGCCGCCACCATGGGCCTCAACTCCGCCGCGACCAACAACATGAATATCTCCTCCACCACCACCACCAACCCCTGGATGGACAGCCGGATCTGGAGCCGCCTCCCTACCCGCCTCCTCGACCGCGTCATCGCCTTCCTTCCTCCCCCCGCCTTCTTTCGTGCCCGCTGCGTCTGCAAGCGCTGGTACGGCCTCCTCTTCTCCACCACCTTCCTCCACCTCTACCTCCACCTCTCCCCTCCCCGCCCACACTGCTTCCTCTTCTTCAAACACCAAGCCCCCACCACCACCCGCCGCCAAACCCCCACCACCACCACCACACAAGCCTACCTCTTCGACCCCTACGACGTCGTCTGGCACCGCATCACCTTCCCCTTAATCCCTCCTTCCTTCTCCCCCGCCGCCTCCTCCGCCGGCCTCATCTGCTTCATCTCCGATGACCCGGGACCCAAGACCCTCTTCCTCTCCAACCCGCTCACCGGATCCATCTCCCAGATCCCCTCCCCAACCCTCCGCCCGCGCCTCTTCCCCTCCGTCGGCCTCTCCGTCAAACCCTCCTCCATCCACGTGGCGGTCGCCGGGGACGACCTCATCTCCCCCTACGCCGTCAAAAACCTCTCCACCGAGTCATTCCACGTGGACGCCGCGGGGTTCTACTCCCTGTGGGGGACCACCTCCCCCCTGCCCCGCCTCTGCAGCCTCGAGGCGGGACAGATGGCGAGCCTAGGCGAAGGGAGGTACTTCTACTGCATGAACCACAGCCCCTACAGCGTCCTGGCCCACGACGTCGTTTCCAACTGCTGGTTCAAGATCCAGGCACCCATGCGTCGCTTCCTCAGGTCGCCTTCCCTCGTGGAGACCAAGGGCAGGCTGGTCATGGTGGCGGCGGTGGAGAAGAGCAAGCTCAACGTCCCCAGGAGCCTCAGGATGTGGAGCCTCCAGCCCTGCGGCGCCACGTGGGTGGAGATCGAGCGGATGCCGCACCAGCTCTACGCGCAGTTCGCGGAGGTCGAGGCAGGGAGAGGGTTTGACTGTGTTGGGCATGGGGAGTTCGTCGTGATTCTCATCAGGAGGTCCGGGAATCGCGGGCTGTTGTTCGATATGTGGAGGAAGGTGTGGCACTGGATTCCGATGTGTCCCTACGTGGCTGCTGACGGTGGTGGAGATGATGATGATGAGGCTCAGCTGCGTGGGCTGCCTTATGAGCCGCGGCTGGCTACGCCGGTCACCGGCTTGCTGGATCAGCTCACCCTTCCGGCTTTCCACTCCTTCAATTAATTAGTTAGTTAGTCAATGCTTGTTAAGTCGTCGTTCGAGATGTGTTTTTTAGGTTTGCTTGATTTTTTAGTCATGAGTGGTTCTGTTGGCACTCGATAGGTCAGTTGTAATCTGGGTTTGCAGTTGGTAGTATAATTCTATTTAACTACTTAATTTGGGTTTGCAGTTGGTTGTAATCTGGATGTTAATCTAGTTAATTACTCCGTAGTACTGGATTACCAAACATTGCATGGATTAATTAGAGTTGAAGATGAATAATCTTTTTTTTTTTCATTTCCATTTCCATAAAAGAATAAGCAGATACCAGAATATATACAAGACATTTGCAGATCAAATCATAAAATGGAAAGGAGAAAAGGACGACTTGTTGGTGAACCATTGATAAGAGAATATCCGGCTGTTCAATTTGGTGTTTGTGATCGTCGGTTCGAAATAAACCTAACCATAAAATTGAACTTCAAATTAAAAACCAAACACAATTCTTCCGTAACCCAACTCCCCATTAAGCCCAATTTAGCCCGGATTAACCCAGATATATGAGAAAAGTTATTATTTTTCATACATAAAGTCATTATTTATCAAATTTTATATAAATAATAACATATAATATTACAACAAAACAATAATTCTTACTTAAATCTAACATATAATTAAAATTCAAACAAGCGCACTTAATTATACCATATCATATGATATTATATCACTTTGAATAATTAATTGACTTAAATTATTATAATAATAAACCCTCAAAGTATTGCATTTGCAACCGTCTGTGCACATATATGGAATTGGTGGGGCCACTCATGTCCACCTTCACGTGGACCAAGGTTGTCAACCCGGATTGACCCGGACCCGTCCCAAAAAATGGGTCATTGTAACCCTTTTGACAGTTATCCCGGACCCGATCAAACTCGGGAAAACCCAGTCAAACCTGGCTAACCCGGGCGGTTAGCCCGTCCAGAGCGGGTCACTGGGTTGCTTCTCCTTAGGTTGCGTTTCACACTGGCGCGGCGTCGCTTTTGGCCTGGAGAAGGCGAGGGGCAGGGTCTGAAATCGAAAACCCTACCGCTAGTCCGCTACACCCTTCAATCTTCATCGTCTCAACCTCTCCTCTCCATTCCCGCGGCGCAGCCCTATCTCCCACCCACAGGCGCCGCTCGATCGCAATCGCCAAGCCAAGTTCCCCTTCGTCGGCGGCAACTAGCTCCCGCTCTGCTCCCGCAGCTGCTCGAGCTTTGTCCTCCGACCAATATGAGTTTGAGCGCCGCCATCTGCCTCCGACCATTCGAAACCTCGAGCTTGGCCGCCATCAACTTTCCTCTGCCTCAAGTCAGGTCGGGTCGGGTCTCACCTCCATCTCCAGCTAGAGTTCGACCTCCTCCCTCTATTTGATGTTCGAACTCAGATTGGTAAGGGTTTGGTTGATTTTATTAATTTATGAATGTTTGGTTAATTTTGGCAGGTGGTAACGTGAATTAGATTGCCTCTATGGAGAAGTTGAATGGTTATTTGTTAGTAAGGGATTGTTGATGTTATAGATGTTAGGAAGAAGTTGAATCGTTAATAATCATTTGGAATTTTGGATTGCTTATGGTTAAGAAGAATTTCATATTGCTTATGTTTGAGATTGAGCAATATAATGACGTTTCTTATATTGGGTTGAGGATAAGTACAATATAATAACGATTTTCATATTTCCGGGCTAAAAGGGGTGACTCATTGACCCATGACCCACAAGCTCCACCGGATCCGGGTTGACCCGCGGGTTGACAACCTTGACGTGGACCAAGAATAAAAATCCACTGTCAGATACAAACCCGAAAACCGCTGCTGCGGGTAGACCCTGCTGGCTTTGTCCAGTGTTGACCGGGTTAAAACGGGTTTGACCATTCCAGATCATTAGTTAAATAGGTTTGTATGACCCAATTTTGTTACCAGGTCTGAGTTTATCTGCGGGTTGACAACCTTGACCCTAACTCACTCACCACTCTTAGTTCACCCAAAGCAAATTGAAACCCTAGACCAACACTAGCCCAACTCTCCTCTCCTCTCCTCTCCTCTCAAAAAGATTTCTCTCTCTGCCTCCCACTCCTTTCTCTCGGCTCCATTAAGGAGCCTCAATCTCCTGGTCTCCCTCTCCAATTTTTCCAGACAACCCTGACCAACGGATCACCGCTCCCCCTCTCCTCTCGGTAGCAAGACTGCATTTTCGTGATATCGATCGTCATCTTTCCCCTCCCTCCCATCCACAGCTCAGTCTCGTCGTTGAAATCTGCTGCCACTCCCGACAGCTTCTCGAGCACGAGCATAAGGAAAATAGATGTTGCCTGTGTTGTGGAAATTGTTAACGTATACTATTTTCTTGTAAAACAAGTAACAAATTAAGATCATGTAATCAACACAAAAAACATATAAGATTACGAAATCATGAAAATACATATGCAAGCGTCCTAGCCGATAAAATTCACTGTCTCTCCTTAAGGAATCTTATTCCCCTCTAGTACTCAAGGTTATGGAATGATTTCTCTCAGGATAGAAAGGACATACCTTTTCCGGCGTAGCGGTACCTCAAACCCCGGAAACCATCGAACGCAGCGAACCGGTGAGAACCACACTTGACTCGATGTTCACTTTGAAAAGAATTCATAAAACTAGTTTTGGATTTTAGCTGAGTTTTGGTACCGGAAAAACGTATATTTTCTCGTGGTCAAAACTAGAGGGGCTATGGTGCTATTTATAGAAAATGAAGGGATGCGTATGAAGGGAGGCAACTCTTCGTATGGGTGATTACACCCAATCAACACATTGGTTCATTTTAAAATAATGAACCATTGCATCGGTTCGGTCCATGGTAATTGGACCGATTTGGTTATTCCAACCGCCACATCGGTTCGATTTTGTTCAACTCAATTTGGTCCGGTTGGTTAGAGAAACCAATATATTACATCAAATCGACCGAATTCGTGGCCACGCCTTCCCACAGCTTACCAACATGGTATTTCAAGAGATTCTCTTAGATCTTTCCCCTTTCATTTCCATTCACACCATTAAAAAGTCATAACAATCCCCACATGAATGGAGAATGTTGTACTTTAAAACTATGCAAAAAAAATCGTGTGATTCTCGACTAAGAATTAGTTGCGTCGGGATAGGTAGGTTTCCCTTTGAACCTTCCTTAGTGAACATATATGGAATATACTCACCAATTGGTAGATGTGATATCTTTGAACCGTCGGTTTTGCTTGTATACTAAGATAACATATGTCACACAACTAACTCTTATCTGTTCACTGGTTCTCATTGTTGTGTTCATTTTAGCCATGAACACCACCTGGTCTCATGAGTGCTTAGAGAACTGGCCTTCTTTTATTCTCCTTGAAAGCATCCAAACCACCTCATAATCCATGAATAAGAATTTAATCTATTTTAATATGTGGAACATGGTTTCATAAGAGGTCAAAAACTTCTTTCCTCTTCTGCTATCACCTCATGACCTTTCCCCTTATTCTGCAATACAATCACAGGTCCTTTACCAGTCTCCTGAGCATCTTCTTTCCTGATATCACTTTGCACTACCACTTCTGCTTCACTTGTCTGATTATCAACTTGAATCTCCCCAATAACTGGAAGTTTCTTCTGCCATACTCTCTGGTGAGGTTCAATAGGCTTGACACAACTACGCCCAAAACATTGTCCCTTCTCGCACACTTTAGGCAAATGACAATATTCAACATTAATGAAGATTTCAGGTAAGCCGTCAAGCGTAATACTCAATTTAGACACCTTCTTTGCACTAGCTTTTACTTCTACACAAATTTGAGCAAAACCCACCTTACCATGTGTAGTTGAGTTATCCATACAGAGCGGCCGACCAAGAGAGCTAGCAACCCTTCCCAAACCCTCTTTAGAATTCAGCTCCGTTGGCAGGTGCGAGAGCTTTACCCAGATAGGCAAAACAGAGCTATCGAGCTTCAAAGGGCTAATCTCTAGTTCCCACTTACGCAGGAAAAGCAAATTCTCCCTGTGATACCAAGGACCATTCTCGAAAACTCACTAGCAAATCTCAGCATTAGGTAATCGCAAGAGTACAAGTCGCCGCCAATACCAGAAACACAAACTTCACCATCCTTTCCCCACAACCAGTTCGCCCAATAGCGGATAGATGAAATTGACGCATGTCGATCAATGAATTTCCCTATTACACTATTCTCCCAGCGTTTGCCTCCTTCTTCTACCACCTTCCTTGGAATCCTCAACGAACCATTAACATATTCTGGCTCATAATAGTCCAGTCGATTATCCTCCGGGACTCCAAACAACAACACCCAGGAGCGACCGTCACCGACGGCTGCCGCTCCGTCAATGACGGCCGCCATCGTCGAAATCGCGATTAGGGTTCAGAGGAAAACGAAGAGAGAGAAGAGAGAAGAATACCAAGAAGAAAATATAATGTTAGTTTCAGAGCTTGTGAAGGACTATCACTATAAAAAACATTACTCCAAGAAGTGTGGTGAAAATTGACATCATGAAGCATTAGACTCTGTTAATTGGAAGTTCTTATTCACTGTTATGGAAGTGATGGGGTTCCCTGCTGGGATTATTAAATTGTTGCCTGCTTATGTCACAACTCCATCTATTAAGGTTTCTCTAAATGGTGGTCTTTGTGGGAATATCAAAGCTCGTAAAGGCCTAAGACAGGGAGACCCACTGTCTCCCTATCTCTTCACAATAGCTATGGAGGTTTTGGATGGTCTGGCTAGGAAGGCAGTGAGGGAAAACCATATACCTTTTCATCCTAGGTGCAAGCCCCTAATGATTACGCATCTATGTTTTGCGAATGATCTGATGATTTTCACGAATGGTTCAGTTAGAGGGGTTGCAGGTATAAGACGGCTGATGGATTAGTTTTACAAGCTCTCGGGACTTAAATGCAATGCAACCAAGTGTCAATTGTCCTGCGCAGGGATATCAAAGGAGGAAATGCAATTTATTTCTACTACAACAGGATTCCCCCTTGGTACTCTTCCTGTAAGATATTTAGGGGTACCATTGATAACTGGAAAGCTTACCAAGCAGGATTGTCAAGTCCTTATTGAAAAAATTACACAGAGATTTCAAAGCTGGAGATCTCGGATACTGACATATGCTGGAAGAATTCAACTCAACTCATCTGTGATAACTAGCACGCTGCAATATTGGCTTAATATATTTCTACTTCCTTAGTATATAATCAAGGAATTGGAGCGTTTGTGTAATGAGTTCCTATGGGATTCAGCTGAGGATGGAACGAGAAAGCGAGCAGTGATGGCATGGAGCAAGCTTGCGCTGCCAAAACAAGAAGGGGGACTGGGAATTCGCAACTTCAGTCTCTGGAATAAAGCTTGTGTATTGAGGCACATCTGAGAAACATTAACCAAGTGAGGATCGCTTTGGGTAGCCTGGGTTACTCGTTACAGATTGAAGCAGAAGAGCATCTGGGAAGTTTTAGATTCATCTGCTGGGACATGGGTTTGTAGGAGGTTTCTGAAAGGTCGAGGGCTCGCTGCTCCTCATATTTCGGGTATTCCCCCCACGTATTATGGCAAGGTGAGCAAATGCATAAATATTCTGTTACGAGAGTTTGGGATACTATAAGAGAACACCCGCAGAAAGTCGAATGGTGGAAACTTGTGTGGTCTAAGGCGATAATTCCTAGACATGGTTTTATTTTATGGCTAGTCATGCGTAATAGACTGGTGACTCAGGACAAGTTACTAGCTTGGGGGAAATCAATAGCTGGATTATGTATGTTATGCCCAGGAGGTTTAGAAAATCAAAACCCTCTTTTGGTCTCCTGTTCGTATACTGTATTTGTGTTGCAGCAGTGCTTAAAAAGGCTCTCTCCGCCAGCTGAAGGTGATTGGGAGGCAATTGTGCCTTGGTGTGTGCAGAACTGAGGGCAAAAGAACTCAAGGCAAGCGTTGTGCAGATTGATTTGGTGCTCGGCCCTTAATCATATTTGGCGTGAGCGTTGTACTCGACTATATGGAATGAAGAAAATTAGTCAGCCAGAGGAAATAGTGAAGCAAGTTTCTTTTGATGGTTGCCTGTGCTTAATGCAATTTTTTGATTTCGCATAAAAAAAGTTGAACACACCAAAATTTTCCTATTCTTTTAAAAGTATCAAATTATCAAATACATTGCTTTACTTTATTTATATTTAATTGATAACTTTATTGAATAATTAAATTAAGCAAAATTTTAATTTATATATTATATTAATATTGTCCATGATCTCAATTATTAATTATTCATTATTAATATTCACATTGTGTTGATTTTATATTTCAAATTTACCTTTTTAATTTTGTTAAAGAACTTAGTGTGCAAGTGACCTTCATGTCTCAATTTTTGTAATTTTCTTAAAATACATAATATCAAGTGAGTCTCATATTTTTAAATTTCCTATATAAAATGAAGAACTAATTTTACCTAAATTTAGAATGAAAAACTTTATTTTGAAAAACTATGTATTTAATATAATAATTATTCAAGTGGATTAGGTGAAGTTCGGGTTGAGTCGGTCGGGTTGTGGGTTAGTCGGGTTCGGGTCAATCGAGTTTGGGTTAATCGGGTTGCGGGTCAATCGGGTTCCGGTTAATCGGGTTGCAAGTCAGTTGAGTTCGGGTTAGTCGGGTTGCGGGTCAGGCTGGTTACGGGTTGTTGACTTTTATTCAATTCGGGTTGCGGGTCGGTTCTGTTTTGACACCTATAGACCCAACCATGAACCAGTGCCGAAAAAGTTAATCTGCTAACTTGAAGATTCGTTAGCAGATACTAACTGATATCCAGAATATATGAACTAGCAGACTTGGATACTAATTCATACATTTTGTATATTAATTACTATATATACGGACAAATAATAAGTAGGCTGGTGCCGAAAAACAGAGTAGGTCAGTAACATAGTGGGCCAGTAGAGTTGGGCCAAGTTAATTGAGGAAGTTTTGCCCAGCCTTAATCGATTGGCTTTCTCTTTCTCTAATTGTAAAAAACAGAAAATGAACAAGGAATAAAAAGAGACCCTCCAATCTACAATTCTACGTACATCCAAATCTTTCTCTTCTCCAGTTCTCCCGCTCGAGATCAAGCACCTTGTTCGTCGAACCTGGATAGAGATCAGCCTTAGTCTTTGACTCGCTTGGCAATTGGCGTCGTTTGCGAGAGCATCTCTTTGGTCCAGAGTACGTTGATATTCGCCTACACAGTGGTTATCATTAGTATCGGCCTCATTCCTTACTGGCCTTGCTTCAATCGCCACCATCTCCCTCTCGCCCAGAAGCATCCTCCTCTGGTTGTTGCTTGCTAAGAAGAAATAGGATGAGTGGATAGGTTTTATTTATTTTTCAATGTTTCTCTTTGTATTGCTCACTCTGTCTAGTCTGACTTGGAATTATATTAACTTATGAGTTGCAAGGGTCAAGAATTAGCTATTAGTCCTCATAACAACTTGTATGGTTTTCATGCCTGCCTGTACAGAGTTAGCAAAGGTTAATTTCAGAAGCTACTCTCTCTCTTTTGATTCTTTTGCTGCTGTTCCGTTCTATGTTTGTTTGCTTGTTTCATAGTGGATTTTGCCGTAATGAGTATCTTCTGCAGCATCGTCCAACTCATCGTCTAACAACAACTTCTGGTTCCTTTTGCGAGATTTTGTTCTTCTTTGTGTTTCGTAGGAGGCTCCAGTCGAGGCGCTGGTTTCTGTCTTCTCCATAGCTAGTAACAATAATAGATGCTAATATGATAGCAGACGTCTTCATAGTTAGTGATCCGTTGGGTCGGAAGTAATAATGACTGCAGCGAATGTGAATCAACGAGTAGCCATCATCTACTCGATAGGAAGTTTATATATCATGTGTTTGAAGGTTTTGATCACATATCAATGTCAGCACTCTCCTAGCATGATGCTTGTTGGATTGGTATTAGACATCAGGAAAACTGTGTATGTATTCTAATGCCATCAGGTTGGATTGGTAACCGGCATGGTGTTTTGGTAGGTATCACACGGTAAAAATCAATTGCTCATAATTTAAAACATACTACTGTGACCATCTCTTTCCCATACTACTTATACATCAGAGGACCAGACCTCAACATTGCAAATCTCGGCGGTTTGTTTCAATGTCCTGCTCGAGCTGCAAACTAATAGCTCAGACCGTCCTCTAACATTTCTGAGTTTGTCACTGTTTCTGCTTCTCATGCTCTCACCATTGTCAGTATTGTAAGGGTGCTCCTGGCTCTGGGACCATGATCCCCCTTGAAGTAGCTTGAAAAATAATAATGGATAGCCTGCCCCCCGTGATGTTTAGTCCCAGCAAAGGTTCTGGATGGCACAAGTTAAGCATAGAATGATCCTCAGCAGCTCTCTCTCCTAGATACATTGACCCGTCAGACACAAGCATAACAAGCTCCACATTAACATGAACCCGACTCATGGTATGAGAGATTCGAGAAGCCCTCCCGAGGCTTTTTGTGAACCAGTTTCTTCCTTGCATCTATTTGAGAAACCTGCTGAGGAGCTACTCACACTGATCTGCTGCTGAACTTATGTCCAATTGGTACATAGAGAATGTTGCGAAAGATGCATCATGAGTCATTCAGAAGCACAAGGCCCGTCAGTGCATTTTTCACTGAATCAATAACCGAATCTAGGAGGGTTGCAGAGGGCTTTGAGCTTATGTTTGGTGACTATGGGATTGATAGACACGACACAATGATGCAAAGAGGTCACAACTTCCCTGTTGCATTGCATGCATTAAGTTCAGTGACACACCTGCAACAATGAATCCTTCTCTATGAAAGCTTCATGCAGAGCACATACAGGAATCACATCCACTTAGTCCCACATAGCGGCATCTTCTGACATACAAATTAATCAGAAAAAAAAGATTTCAGTATTAAAATGAAAACGTAGATACTAGAGAAAACATAATCTCAGTTTCACAACCTGAAGAGCCATCTGCAAATCGCAACTCTAATTAACAAATATAGCTATCCAGGTAAAGATCGCACAATCAACAAATTCTTACAATAGAAATCCAAGAAAGTGCAAACGTATCAAAAGTTTGGTTTGTGATCAACAATCTCGCTCACAGCCTAGCACAGCCAATTCACATATCAAGAAAACCCACATGTCTCTACTCTACCCCCTGCAGGGTTTGTTAGAAACATAACAGAGCAGGATACAAAATGGATAACATTTCATTCATAACAACTGCTCGAATAATCCTGGAAAACCAGAAAGACCAAACAGTGCAGAGTTTCTACTAAGAGTTATAAGAGGATGCTAGAAATATAAAGAAACTAAGCATTGTAGTGATATGTACCCAACAACATATACCCTCCAGGTAATGACTCTCACTATGATCAGCAGCACTAACATTTCTAGCCACTTTTCCTTGGGTAGTTTCTGAAGCTTTTCCACCAAGAAACCAGGATGTACTGCTTCTTTGTCAGAGAAGAAGAGAGAGTACCGCGAGTAATCAATCTCATCCTCGTACGGGAGCTCGATTTTGTCACTCACGACAACAGGAACACAGTGGCTGACTATAGCATCAAATAGTCGGCAAGATGAAGGTGTGTCCCCAGCCGGGTGGAGACAGAACTTTGATGTGCGCATCCCTTCTGTGGACTGTGCATCGGGAGGGGGGAGACGGAAAATGAGAGGATTAAAGAAGACAGAAATTGCGTTTTGCAGTCGAGGAAAAGTGAACAACAAGAAAACGAAACAGATCAAGAGCAAAGGAAACAGAGGGGGAAGAGAAGACAGCCACAGGTGGGATTCATTAGAATTGAACCTCATGACAGAAAAGCAAGAAACAAGTACCAAAAGAAGTGGAAAGCTAGAGTATAATAATAAAGAACACTTGAGAAGAATTGCAAAAAGTGAAGCATCAAGATCACATGGAACAGTGAAACTCATCTAGACAGACTCGGAGTAATAGCAAAGAGACAGTAGATTTGTTTCAGCACCTTACATTCACACACACCCCACGAGGATAACTGAGTTTGTAGTTCAACTTGGAGAGAAATTCAGCAGATAATTAGACACCTCAAAGTTCAATTGTTACTATATGAGATTCGAGAGAGCTTCGCAGAGGTCGGCGAAAAGGAGCCGCGTAACCACCAGTGACCTCGCCATTTGCGCTTTCGTTTGTTTCGGCGGCCTTTACTTCTTCGTCCGGTTGCTCCAGGAATCGTCGCCGTGTCCTTCCTGTGAAACTCGGCCGTTGAAGGTGTTTATGTACAATCTGCCGAGAAAGATCCACGTCGGAATGCTTGAAGGTGGAGGTGAAGCTTCGGGTGACAAGGAGGTAACATAGGAGAATCTTCCTCCATGGCCAGAGGATTCTGGATTGAAGAAGCAACACAGTGTGGAGTATTGGATGATGGCTTCTCTCCTGTTTGGAGGTGAAGGTATTCAATCAATTCAACCTAACATCACAAAAAGTTGAATGATCCAATCGAAGTAACCCTCAATCAGTTCACCACACAACTACTGGCAATTCAAAACTAGTTCTGAATCCTAAGGTCTAATCCTAAACCCTAACTAATAGAGAGAGTTACCTGCAGCTGGCGGCAGAATCCCTCATATTGGGGCCGTAGGTCTCGAAGCTAAGCGAGGAGAAGAACGGAACAAAGAAAGCCTCCGCAGTCTCTGCATCGGAAACTCTAACGGCTTCAGTACCTTTAAGGAAGATATATTATTTAAAGGCTTGAGTTTCCTGAGTGTGTCGTGTTTATTTAATACCCAGCTCCTTCAATCAAGCCTCGGCATAAATTACACGGCCCAGGAACACGACCGTGTTTGTATTTAGTCTAGCCCGTGTTTTTCTTCCTCCTCAGTTCAGCTCTCGGCATAAATAACATTGGCGTGCTCTTTTCATGTACACTGCCGTGCTCTTCAAGCCTCCTGCCCGTGCTTTGGCCCCAGCTCGACCGAATGACCTCCAAACGCCCCGAATCTCGTGCTTAGCCTTTCGTTCGACGCTTGGAACCTGAAATATGACAAAGTAGCACAACCCATCGTAAAATGGGCCAAAAATACACGAATACGAGCCGCAAACGGATAAGAACTAGGGGTGCAAACATGTGCAAATACATCGTTATAAAATTCCCCCACATTTAACCGTTTGCTTGTCCCCAAGCAAACCAAATCAGACACAAGGTAAGCTCAAAACATTTTTAATCAAGCAGGCTTTAGGGACATATCATATCGGCACAAAACACGTGAATCATACTGGCTTTTGATCATTAACACATGGACAACCTCAAAGACAACCTAGACAACCACCACAAATGACATTCGAATGCAGCAAAGTCGAGCAAAGGAAGAATCTCCCTTCTGTTCACCAACCAACATAGACTTGACTCAACCACTTATCCAAGACAGTCACTTCATGCACAAAGCTCAAGATATCAGACTTAAGACCGAGCAATTTAGGTCCTCATCGAGATAAAGAGTGTAGAAAATATGAGGAAATAAATAGCTCACTCTCGACCAGTGGGGTCAGGACAGCATTTTGATGCAAGATGTGGATACTCATACTCTCAATTCCTAACGTTTCTTCACCATCATGGCAGCCTCTAAATGTTAGAGTTCACATATCGGGTGTCACCACTAACTAATCCGGAGGTCTTAGACACAGGTTCAGATGACTGGCTAGGGTCTTGGACATGGGGAAAAGGCCTTTTAAGAACTACATCCAACGCTCACATTATATTTAGCAGAAACAGCAGAGAACATGTAAAAACCACTCTGTGGAACCTTCTAAGAGATGCAAAAGGGTGATTTTCCATTGTAGACCGAAAGAAAGGATAACACACGGCTCAAAAGGGCTGACTAGGGGGTATGACTAATCAGTCAGTCAATTTGGTCGTGGGCTAATCCTATGCCTCCATCATCGTAGCTAATGACAACGTGAATGCTACACATCATGGAAGAGGGAACTATCACTCAAGAAAGAAACGAGCAGGCTCAAATCTCACATGGCAACCTATATGCTCTATCTCTCATTCTGATTCCTTGAGCTAGATGCATAAACGACTGTCAAGAACAAGTGATCAATCCAAGTCACAGTTGGTAAGCAAACAGTTGAAAAACTGAACCCCTACACAATTCTACTGCACGTCTCAGTCATCATTATAGGTTGTCCTAGTTACACTCCAGTTGTCATGCATTAATTCAAATCCATTCAATTCACCAATCAAATCCACAATGCCAATACGATCAAGCATCAAGCAAACAACAATACTTGGAGCCCTCAAATCGCGAGATTTGGACAGCGGACTAGGCTCCAAGCACACATATTAATGTTCCAATGAATACAAAGAACCCCCTCACACTTAAATGCAACAATGTCCTCAATGGAGCAGAGGGAAGGGGAACGATGTTACCGTGAAATGAAGATCAGGAACGAGGACTGGAAAGCAGACCAGTCAATACCAGGGGACTGGAAGGGGGACCTGTCCAAGGCACAGAACTAAAGTCATCAAAAGACACACACTGGGTGAAATAACCGGAGTTCCATGTCTACAATCCAACATAACAAAACAAAAAAAAAAAAAAAAACAAAAAAAAAACATGGAGTCTCAGTCTGGAAAAGAAATGAAGTGGAGAACCAGCCACTCGCCACTAGAACGCATCGCCACCATCGCCGGTGGGTGGAAGGTACTCGTCCTCATACCTCGTTGACTGCACGAAGGGGTAGTGGACCGAGTGCGGGTCCAGGCCCAGGTAAGACATGATGTAGTGCTGGCCGGACATAAGAAGACGGTCGCGGTCCCACTCACGATCGAGGCGGGTTAGAATGCTCTCCTGGCCGGCCAGAATGCGCTCGTTCTTCTGAGCAATGGCCGCCAACTGGTCAGCAATGGAGACCGCGGGAGCGGGAGACCCGGGAGCAGCGGTGGTGCTCGCGGGGGCCTGGGCACGACGAACAGTACAACGGGTAACCCGGCACCCCCCCAGCGGCACTCGACTCTGGCTGGTCGTCCCCGGCAGGTTCAGGTGAAGGCGGCCGAGGGCAATGCAGTCAAAATTGGGATTTTGATCGTAAAATCGTAGGATTTTAGGATTTTACTTAGAGATTCCGATCCTGATTTTACTATAAAATCGATGGACCTTAAAATCGTTCAAAATCGGGATTAAAATCTTTAAAATCGTACCAAAATCGGGTTTTGATCCTATGTGAACAAAATAGGGAGGTTGAGCCAATTCAAAAGAAGCAGTATTGTACGGTGGAAAGGGCAATAACGTGGATCTTCTCATATATTTTTCCTATTAAAAGAACATTTGAAAAGAAGAAAAAAACTAATTAGGGTTCGGTCAACTCCTTTCCCTTCTCCTTGTTTAACTCATCGGTAAAACAATTGTCAGAATATTGTTAGTGCGTAAGAATTAACATCATTATTAATAAATTATTTTATTAATGAATATATTTGTACCAAACCAATTACATTAACTATTTTATTGGATTTCAGTTATTATTTTTAAATCATGCTTAGTAGACGATGTCGGAATACTACTTTGAGTTAAACTACCTAGACTGAACATGAAAAACAGGAGCCAAACCCCATGAGCTCTATCCCTTGCTCATAAATTATTTTGAGTTACACATTAAATAACAATTAAAATGATTATTTTGGAACATTAATCTTGAAAATATATCACTTTAAATGTTATAAGTCTTTGTGTTATTAATTATTTACCTTATTAATATTATCATATGTTAATTTCTATATGGTACTTAAAAGGCTACGATTCGATTTTACCCCAGTCTTCGATTTTAGGTAAAATCCCGATTTTAACTACTTTGGCCGAGGGAGACCCGCAATCCATGCCAAACGCCCCTGTCGCGCAAGCATGTGCTGATGGCGGAGGGTGGCCTCACTGAATGGGGTCACTGGGCGGACCAAGGTCATCCCAGTGATGTCGACCCCGTAGTAGTGGGCCAGGGCAGTGATCACCGGGCCACAGACAAGGTGGCGATCATGGCTGGCGCATGCCTTGGTGAAAGTACGGGCGAGTACAGAGCCCAGCTCGATAGTGTCCTCTGAGCGACCCATCGTGTGCATGAATTACAGGGTCCGGAGGGTGACCCGGTTGGACGAGCCCCGGCTGGGAGTGTAGGACTGGGTGTGCAAGTGGTTGAGGATCCGCCACTCCGAACGGAGGAGAGTGGCCCGCGTCTGGCTGGCGATGTAGTGCTCATCCGCATAGTTCGGTAGGCAGATGCGCTGGAAGTAGGCCTGGTCACAAAAGTTGGTGGGAACGGTCACCTCCACGATCAAGGGGCGGTCGCTGGGGTGAAGGGAGTTGAGACGAAGTGCAGTGGCCAACTCCCAGTAACTGATGGAGTGCTCCACCCCGCCGAGCGTGAAATGTACCGCATCAGCATGGTCGGCCGACCTCCTCTGGGAGTGGGAGAAGGAGGCGTAGAACTCCCAGACGAGCTCCTGGTAGGTCGGCTCGGCGAGGGAGAGAAGGCGCCGCCAACCATAGGTGCGAACAACGGCCTCCATCTGCGACCTGGCATGAAGCGCCTCGAAAACCCCAAAGTCGAGATGCAGGTGCTCGGCGATATGGCGGGTGCGGATGGTCCGCAGCAGGTGGCGTTG